ACTGGGGACATATTAGCGCAAGATAAGGAACAGACAAACTTTTGCGAATAATATTTTACAACGGAGAGTATATTTACCATTGTGAAATTTGCTGAAAGATGTAAAGAAGGCAAAATTACAACATGCTTACTCTTTGTTGATTATGAAAAAAAGCATTCTATTTAGCACAGCAACACTCCACCTTAAAAGATCTCTTCCAAAACGGTGTCTCCTACCCATACATCAAAGTGTGCAAGATTCCTTGAAATACATAATAATAGAAATAACTTTGTTCAATGACCCTATGGTCATAACTATCAGGTAAGGTATAAAATACATAATAATAGAAATAATTTTGTTCAATGACCCTATGGTCATAACTATCAGGTAAGGCATAAAATAGTCTCATTAAGGGTATTCAACACTGTGATGGAGATCTAGCTCAAAGACCAAGTAAAAGAGGTATTCCCTGTGGACTGTGAGGTCCTTCAGATAATTCTATTAGTAGATGACATATTATAGTTGAATCAAGCCCTAAATCCCTGGAGAATCTGTAACCATCTCCCAATTGGTAAATTGTATAATAATATGAACAGATAGTTCTCAGGGGAAAAAAAATGCAGGCAATCTATAGGCACATGAAAGAATACCACAATTAACTATGGATATGACAAATGCAAATTAAAACAATTCTGAGATCCTACTTCACAATTACAAGAATGGCAATGATGACAAAAAAGGAAACTGATAAACTTTGTGTGGCTGTGAAAAAACAGACTCACTGATGCATTATTGGTGGACTTGTAAATGGGTACAATCATTCTAGAAAGTTATTTGGAATTATACATTAAAAGTTTTTAAATAGTGCATACTCTTTGACCCAGTCATACCACTACTAGGCTTATACTCAAAAGAGATCAAAGAAAGAAAAGTCCTTTATGCATTTAAAAAAAACAAACAAACACTTATAACATCTCTTTTTCTGGTTGCAAATCTCATCCCGCTTCCGGAAACTAAAAAGATGCACATCAATCGAGGAATGGCCGAATAAGTTGTGTTATCTTAATGTAATAGAATACTATTGCAGTGTTAGAAATGAGGAAATGGATGATTTAAAAAAGACATGAAAACACTTAGGTGAACTGATGCAGAGGGAAAAAGAACCAGTTTAATTTATACTAGAACATCAATATTAGCGATGAACAAGTTAGAAAAAGTTAGTTTTATAAACTGATGAAGAATGAAGTGAGCTGAATCAGGAGAACCATTTATGCAATAACAACAATGTTTTTATAATAACAACAGTGATATGTTATATATTATTGTATGTAATATTTTTGCAAGATTGAGGGAATTTGTTTTGCTTAGTTATGTATATTTCTTCAAATATTCTTTCTCTTTTTTTTTAAAGTGAGGTGAAAACTGGGAGAAGAAAAGGAAGGGAAATCAAAGAAGACACAGTGCCATCACCTGACTTCCAGTTCCTCTCTCTTAATTCTTTTTATGTCCTTGATGCACCATCAGAAAACTACAGTCAGCAGACTGCCCACAATTGTTCTATGTACAGAGAGGGATCATATGGAAAAAAAAAATAGGCCTCAAAGATTAGCAGAAACCTGAAGGGAAATTGGGATTTGTTTGTAAGCGTGTTTGTATGCATGTATGTATATGTGTGCATATATATATACACACACATATATACACACACACGTATACATACATACATATATACATACAGAGAGAGAGAGAGATTCGGAAGGTACTACAGATGTCAAATATTGCTTGTACTTTCAGATGAGATCACTGTCATGTTAGTCTTACTTAACTGCTTCATTTTGTTCCCAGATTCCTCTCTCAAAGTGAAAATAATCTGTAAATGTTTTATAATGTGAAATAAAACACACCAAAAATACTTTAGCCATTAAAATTTTTTAAAAAATAATTTGGTTTAAAAATTCACACAGGAAAAGTCATGTAGATAGAAAATGTCTATGCCTCAGATCATGACATGCGTTTGGATGGACAACCAATAGTTTATCTATCCGTATATATATATATGGTACAGAAATGTATGCAAGGACCCAGAATTAAACAGAAAGATAGTAGACTGGATTGACTCCAAAAATGGTAAATCTCCTTTTAGTAATCCCAAGTTGTTTTGTTTTTTTGTAGGATCCTTTTTTTTTTCCTGAGTCTCTCTCTTTTAATACTGTGATTCATTAAGTGTTGTTGAATGGCTTTGAGACATTGAACAAATAATATTCAAAGAATTTAAAATCACACAAAAGGCAATAAAATTCATATGGTGAATATAAGTAGGCTATAGAATATAAAAGAACTTTGAGGAACTTCAAAGAACAAGAGTAAAAGTTATCATCAGGGAAATGTATGATAGAAAGAAAAGATGGACTGGTCAATTTGGAATAAATCTTTAGGCAGAAAAATTTAATCAACTGTTTTTCTTTTTCTTTTACCCTATTTTTTGTTTTGTTTTTAATAGGGAGTGCCATTTGAAGTTAGAATGTCAAGCTGAGTAATATAACTCTTTCCATGGAAACTGGGCCAAAGTTCATAGGATTATAGATTTCAAGGTGAATGGAAATTCTCTTATATTTCAATTTAGTGTTGTAAATGACTGAGTCACCAGAGAATTCAACCATGTACCATGAAATTTTATGGCTCACAAATAAAAGATACTAAAAATATTTTCCTATGAAAGCTGGGAATTTTTTTTGGGGGGGGGTACTGACTGGACTTTGCTCAGACAGCTTGGATCAAGGATTTAGAGGGAAACAGCTAAAGGAAAAAAAATGATTCTTTTGTAGGGCCATATTAGATGGTGGCTATAACCGAGGATGCAAACATTCTATAGAAGAAGGAAATGTGGTTAAAAAAAATTAGAAGAGAAAGTTCAGAAGTAATGGAAATGGTTAATATTGACTGGGAGATTATCTGTAGCAGAAAGAATTAAATTTACATTTCTTCTCTCTCCACCCCCCACCCCTGCTCTGGTTCAAGTGGGGAGAAAGGGTTCATATAATTTTTTTTTTTGGCTAGGCAATGGGGTTAAGTGACTTGCCCAGGGTCACACAGCTAGTAAGTGTTATGTGTCTGAGGCCAGATTTGAACTCAGGTCTTCCTGAATCCAGGGCCGGTGCTCTATCTATTGTGCCATCTAGGTGCCCCAAGGGTTCATATTTTGGTTGTCCTGAACTTCCAGCTGTAAATCTGAGAAATCTTTGGGTTGCATATCCCAGAAAATGGCTACCAACTACCTTCTTGCAAATAGTTGCTAATTGTAAGTTTAAAATTGTGGTAAATTTTCTTGAATGAATGAAAGAGAAAGAAGAAAGGCAAGTAGGTAAGAAGGCTGCAAGGCAGGAAGGCAGGCAGGCAGGCAGGAGAGAGAGAGACAGAGAGAGACAGAGACACACAGAGAGAGATAGAGACACACAGAGAGAGACAGAGACAGAGAGAGACAGAAACAGAGAGAGACAGGGACAGAGAAAGTAGCTCAGTTCAAAAGATTGCATATCATATCAAAAATTTCCCTGAGATACTCGCAGATGCTGAAAGTAGGGTTTCATTTGTGGTCTTCTCAAATCCCAATTTCCCTTCAGGTTTCTGCTAATCTTTGAGGCCTGACTATTTTTTTTTATATGATCCCTCTCTGTACATAGAACAATTGTGGGCAGTTTGCTCACTGTAGTTTTCTGATGGCACATCAAGGACATAAAAAGGATTAAGAGAGAGGAACTGGAAGTCAGGTGATGGCACTGTGTCTTCTTTGATTTCCCTTCCTTTTCTTCAGATTAAATTGTATTATGTGAGGAGTTGGAGTGGAGGGATGTGAGCTTTTGACACTTCTCATTAGCTTCCTCTCCTGTTTCTATGTGTGTGGGGATTTAACTGAGATTACTTCTGGTCAGCTCAAACACTGCCCACAACTCGATACAGTAATTGAAAGGGGGTAAAGAATAGGGGGCAGTAATGAGACAGAGTGATTTCAGCTCAGCTTGATGAATATTGTGTTGCTGAAATACCAAACATGTGGCCCAGAACTCATGCATTTCACAACACTACAGAATGCTGCTCCAACCAGATTAAAATATAATTGGCAAATATTTAACAAAATAAATAAAAATACAGTAAAGCATAGAAGATACTAATACATAGCTTTCTAAGTCAATATGCAGCCTGTAAGAATCCATGTGTATGGTTTAGTGGTTCCCATTCTTGAATTTGACACCACTGTTGTACTGGATTTGGAGTTAGGAAAATCTGGGTTTCAATCTCCTCTTACATGCCTGCTAACTGTGTGATCTTGGGCAATATTGATGTATGTCTCTTTCCTCATCTGTGAAATGAGGATGATGCCACTTGTGGAATCTACTTCATAGAGCTGCTATGAAATTTAAATGAGCCACATGAAACATTTTGAAAACTTTATCATGGGAGGCTCAGTGTAAAGGGCCCTGAATTTGGAGATGAAGACATAGACACAGATTTCAGCCATGATGCTTAGCACCTGAGTAAGCTTGGGCAAGCCATTTAACTTCTCTAGGTCTCAGTTTCCTCATCTGGAAGATGAAGTGACTGGGCTCAATGACCTTAAATGTCCCTTTCAGTTCTAGAGATATGATCCTACTCCTTCAAACTGTTAAGAAAGCCAGGAGGCAGTTACTTCCTGAGAGTGCTTCATGAGTCAGCTATAAACATTTCCAACTGAATAAAATAGCTTCCCCCCTTTTTTATGTTTAAAGGTTTCTATTTATTCTGAAATTCAGCAACGAAATAAATATGAAATAAAAAGCAATGAGAACTGTGGCAAACAAGCGAAACAACACAATATACACTTCGGTTATCGCTGAGACTCGCGAGGGATAGATTACATTTTTTAAAATTCTGAACTTATCAAACACCAAATATAATGAGCATTTCTATGTACAAAAAGCTTAGAAAAAGAGGATTTTTACATAAAACCATGAATCATGATTATGTATTTTGCTTTTCCTTTTCAGTATATCGTAAATTATCCAGCTCTGCCACTACTAGGAGTATACCCCAAAGACATCAAAGAAGGAGGAATAGCATCTATTTGTAGAACAATATTTGTAGCAGTTCTTTTCATAATAGTCAAAATCAGAAACTCAAGGAGCACCTTTATTGCTTCCCACCTTTAGTGAGGACTGGCTAAACAATTAGTGTATATGAATGTAATAGAATATTAGTATGCCAAGAGAACTGACTGAATGGACAGCTTCAAGGACACTGGAAAGACCTCTACAAGCTAATGAGTAAACCAAGCTGAGTTAGAACAACTTAACTGATGATAGCATCACAGAAAAAAACAATTTTGAAACACTTTAGAATTCTGTTCAATGCAAATGACTGAAGAAGAAATATGCCACTCACCTCTTGCCAGAGAGAATGCAAGATGAGGCATACATTTTTGGATCTGGATAATGAGGCAAATTGTCTTGCTGAATTATTTATATTTATTGTGAGGGGTTTTATTATTATTATTGTTTAATGGAATGCAGTGGGAGGAAGATATAATAAATGCTTATAAAATAAATAAAGCATATAATAAATTAAACATATGACTTCCAAAATTGTCTTGCTTCTGTTTCCTTCTGACATTCCTCTCTTCTTGTTTATGATCTTAAAATATATCAATGACCCTCTTTAATTTTATTTCATTGGGGGGGTAATCCTATCATTAAGACCCAATCTCTCTATCCTCTCCACTCTTTAAAAAAAAAAAAGAACTAAGCCTTGTATAATGGGAGACATTCCAATGAGGGTCTAATCCGGGGAGCAAATGGATGTTTGGTGACAGCCTACTTCCAGGCATGCATAATGGAGGGCCTTATTCATTAATTTCTCTGTGTCTCAATTTCCTTATCTATAAAATGAGTAGGATGGACTAGCTGGTTTCTGTGGTCCCATCTACTTCTATGTTATGGTCCTATGTATTCCTCAGTTTAGAGGCAGCTAGTTAGCACACTGGATAGAGTGCTGGGCCTGGAGTCAGGAAGAACTGAGCTCAAATTCGGCCTCCGACACTCACTAGTGTGACCTTGGGAAAGTCATCTAGCCCTGTTTACCTCAGTTTTCTCATCCATAAAATGAGCTACAAAAGGAAATAGCAAACCACTCCAGTAACTTTGACAAGAAAACCTCACATGAAGTCATGAAGAGTCTAACATAACTGAAAAATTACTGAACAACAGCTGCATTCCTTAGTTTAATAAGGGTATTAATTCTTTCCCAAAGTAACATACAGATAGAAGCTAGTCCTTACAGGAGACATGATTCAGAAAGGTTTCAAAGCACATCAAGCCAAACCTTTCTATCCTTGTCTTTTCACTGAGCTACTTCTTTAATTTTTTTAAAGAACATCATACCGGGTGATATTCACACACGCTAGGGCTCTTCTGAAAAAGAGGACATGAGCATGGGGGGAATAACTTGGATCTGACTCTGCCATTAAATAGCTGAGTGACCTTGACCTAGATACTACATCTCTCGGCCTCAATTTTTTCATCTGTAAAACAGTCAGTAAAAATTTATTACGTGCCTACCATGTGACAAATAGTGTGCTAAGTGCTGGGGATAAAAATAAAAACAAAAAAAGAAAGACAATCCCTGCCCTCAAGGAGCTTACGACCTAATGGGGAAGAGAATACACCCACAAAAAAAATCTGTAAAGTGTATGGAGGGGGAAGGGCGGGGAAGAGGAGGCTGCCAGAGAGTACCCATACTAGGGCATGATATTTGCGAAGTTGAAACCAAGCTGGGCAGCTGATGAGAAATGATGATCTAGGTGGAAAATCCTTCACCTTCCATAAAGTGAGGCTTTGGGAGGAGTTCCTTTCTCCACCCTCTAGCCCTCCAATCAGAGGGGAGAAGCAGCTGAGGTGATGATGAATCAATCTCCAGTAGGATGACACTTTAGGTGATGAGCTTATGATGTCTTTCCGGAGTGGAAATCAAACAGGGCAGCTAATGGGAAATTAAAATAAATGAAATAAGACATGGATTGCAAAGCAGTTGATCTTCTTAGAGAGAGAAAATCCTGTGATTCTATTCTCCATGTGAGGAAGGACCAATGATACTATGACTTAGTCAAAACAACTATCATCTTTCAGTCACAGATTTAAATCTAGAAGGGACCTAAGAAAACATATATTTTACAGATGAGAAAATTGACATCTGAAAAGATGAAGTGACTCACCCAAGATCTTACAAATAGTAGGTAGCAGACCTGTCATTTGAACTCAGAGCCTCAGGCTCCAAATTCAGTGTTCTTGCCACTACATAATGCTACCTCTCCTGGTTTCATAAATTGGAAAGTACTAAGCAGAGTATCTAGCTCTTAGCACAGTGCTTGGCACATAGCAGGCACTTAATAAATGTTTATTGAATTGAAAGCAGGGAAAAGTTAGTATAAAGTGATATTTTTGCTTTTCCTCTTGGCTTCCACTGAAATTTGTTTATGTGTGACCATAGGTTTCCCTTTTCTAGGATTCAGGTGCATCATTTGTAAAATGAGATTATCTTATATCTTCATTAAGGTTGCTTCTGGCTGGAAGTCACTAGACTCTCTGTTGCACTGTGGAAGGAAGAGGATCGTATTACAACTCTTTTGCCTACAGTTTCAACTAGGGATTTGGAAGGGAAGCCCTCTCGAGGATCCACTTAACCACTTGGTCATGGAAAGGGTGACACATTGGGAAATGAGATAGTTGTAAGAACCTAGAGCAGGGGTGGGGAACCTGCTAGAGAGTACCATCCATTCCTGTTTTCTCCTCTTACTTCTCCCCCTTCCTCTATCATGGAGCTCCATTCTTTCTCAGCTGTATCACCTCCTCTACTTCTATTTTGCCTCCAGGCCCTGCTCACTCTGGATCAATGTTTGATGCTGGGATTCATGTTTACTTGTTTATCCCCCTCCTTATTTTTTAAAAAGCATTGGCTAGAAGTGGAATGGTTTCTTCCAAGGCTTTTCAAAGTATCTTATGGCCTTTACCTTCTTTCACTGGTGCCACATGTTGATTTGCTTAAATGTTCTAAGGATAAGGTCCCTTGAGAATTGCTCTGCTAAAAACAAATGCAAGCTCTCAAGTTGGAATGGAGCTTAGGAGTCTTATAATCCAACCCATTTTGTTTTATAGGGGAGGAAACAGAAGCCCAGTATGGTTAAAGAGTTTGTCCTTGATCAAACAGCTAATTAAGCATCAGAAGTCATATCTGATCCCAGGTTTTCTGACTATAGACCCAGTTGTCTTCCCAGTATAGCACACTGTATTGTATTTAGCTCCTATAACTTGGTCTGTGAACAAGAAACAGTCAGGCTGTCCTTGGCCTGTATTTGAAATCTTTCCAGCTTGATAGTATCTGCCAGGGCTTCTGCTCAGCTGGCAAAACCTCCAAGTACCCAGGGTTACCTCCATGCCAGCATGAGACATTTAAGAAGAATTTTAGTAGAGGAAATGAGTATTACTAATCAGTAAAAAAAAATCTGATGTTTCCACAGAAATTTCTTTACTTCCAGTCCAGGCAGGACTTACAAACTGGGATTCTAAAATGTCATATCCCAAATTAAGGAAACTGAATGAGTCACTCTTCCTTAAAAGATTACATGGTAATGTAATAAATATAAACACTGAATTATTACCACAAAATGGAGGTAAAGAGATCTACATTGAGAGAAATGGAGGAGAGAAAAAAGAAGGGGGGGAGGGAGAGAGAGAGAGAGAGACAGACAAACAGAGACAAAGAGAGACAGACAGACATAGAGACAGAGACAGAGAGAGAAGGAATTGGAGGTAGACACAGGTAGGGACAGATTGAAGAAACAATCATGTCTGGGAGCCCTGGATATAGAATTGCCCTTTGCTGCCATCTATCCACCTTTGCTTTTTGCTTTGAGTCTCAGGATAGTTCCCCACCCCACCCCCCCAAAAAAGAAAGAAATCGCAGGAGAAGGAAAACTAGATTTAGCTCCTCTTAGAAAGATGAAGCCAAGGAATGTTCAAGGTAATTGGGTGAAGAAAGGTTATAGGAAATATGCCTGTGGCCACCTGGCCTTGAGGTATAATAAAATTATAAGACAACAGTTGTCTTGATCACCACTCAGATTTGTCGAAAATCAAGCTGGGTTTTTTTTTCTTTCCTCCAAGGCTTTGTTATTGTTACTGAGTGAGAATGAGGCATCTTGATTAGGGGAGGGGAATTTACCAAAGAGTGAATGAAGCTATTTGGGATTTGACCCACAAACTGGAGAGGAACCGAGTACTGTTGAGAAAGGCCATCTTCAGAACAGAGGCATTTTGCAAAGATTCATTTGGAAGCATGATGACTTTCCCTTGTTTGCTAAAGTGTGGGAATTATGGGTGTAAGGATCCTGTCAGATTTAGTTGAAGTGTGTCTTAGTTTCGCAGAACTTTCTCTCTCTGTTTTCATTTTGTTTTGTAAGACTGCTCAGTGAATAAGGAAGTGGGGAGAGATATATTTGGAAATACAGATGATATAAAAAGAATAAATGTCAATTTAAAAAATTAAGACCAAAATCACAAGGTAAACCAATAGTTGGCATGGGCTTGACAAAGCAGTCTCAATTTTAAGCCATTCACATTTTATAGAAAATATTCACAAACATGAAGCTAAATCTATCATCTAAATAAAATGATGTAAAATCATATAGAGATCCTATATTCTAAGAAACTCCAGAGTTACATTTATTTCTCCATTTTTCTCCAAGAATTTCTCTCTAGAGAGATAGGAATTTTCTTTTTATCAGCTGGGAAACTGAAGCACAGATCTATGAAATTATTTACTTAAGATTGTATCCAGGAACCAGCCACTAGCTCTCTTGTCTTCTTATCTAATACTAAATCTAAACTGTGTGGCTTCCATTTTTCTATGCAGTTTGAGGATAGTGACAGTAACTGGACCTGTGATTTCATTGATACATGTAGGAACTCCTGGATGTGGAAACTCCCTTAACTAATTCATATCAGCATCTTCTCTGCAACTTCTAATCTCAGAGAATTTTGTACTGAGAGTTTAAGTAGTTTGTCCAGGATCTTACAGCCAATATCTGTTAGAGAAGGGACTTAAATCCAGGTCTTCCTGACTCCAACGCCAGCACTGAGAGAGAGAGACATACAGAGAGAAAGAGACAGAGAGACAGGCAGACAGAAACATAGAGGTTTTTTGGGTTTCTTTTTTTTTGGTGGGGGGAGTAGGGTACAGGAAGAGAAAGAATACATTACTGTTTGTTCTAGTTTTGTTTTCAGCTCCAGAAAAGTTTGTTAGTTTTGTAATTAGTTCTTATCTTACTGAATAGATGAGCTAAACTTCAGACAGCTTTAGTATGTAAAAATGCAGCATTGTGATTTACACTGAAGATACAGAGCCCCACAAATGAAAGGCCTGTACT